TTCTTCAGTGTATGCCGCTTTAAGTCTGTCTATGCTGACAGTGTCTGGGCGGCCGCATCGGTCAATAACGAAAAATTTATCTTTACGACTAAGGACCTTAAAAGGCCCGTCATACGGTGGTTGTAATGGCTTTCGTATGGCGTCGTGACGCACGAAAACGTGTGTACAGTCATCAAGTCGCCGATCAACCTGAACCTTTCGGTTCTGAGTGCGTGTGGAAACTGGTCGGAGTCGCTGCATAAAACTTTTAAGTTGCTGAGCGTAACGGGTGGTATCGGGAAATTTGGCTCGAAAGTTTCGGGAGCGATTAGCTCGCCTGGTAAACGCATGGTGGTACCGTACACCAATTCAGCTGGCGAGCACTGCAGATCCCCCTTAAGCGTAGCCCGGATGCTAAGCAGGACCAGTGGTAGCGAATCTGTCCACTTACTGTTGTCCACTGCCATCAACGCAGCTTTGAGTTGACGGTGGAAACGTTCTACTAGGCCATTTGCCGCGGGATGATACGCGGTTGTGCGAATGCGTTTGCATCCCAGCATCTCTAACAATTCTTTGAAGCTTGTGGATTCGAATTGTTGTCCGCGGTCGGTAGTGACAGTTGCGGGACATCCAAAATGGGCAACCCAGCCTTCCATGAAGGCACGACAGACGGTTTGAGCCGTTACATCTGGTATCGGAATGGCTTCCGGCCAACGTGTGAAACGATCCACACATGTGAGTAAATACGAGCAGCCGTTAGACGGGGGCAGAGGCCCTACTATATCCAGGTGGATATGATGGAACCGAGCGTCTGGGGTCGCAAACGTCCCCAACGGCGTGATGTTATGCTTGGTGACTTTAGCACGTTGGCATTGCACACAAGCACGTGTCCATTGACGCACATCACGGTTCATACCGGGCCACGCAAATCTCGCAGAAATCAACTTGTCCGTTGCTCGTATGCCAGGATGGGAGAGGTTGTGGAGTGACTCAAACACAGTTCGGCGTAAAGACGTGGGAACAATCGGTCGAGGAGTACCAGTTGACATATCGCAAAGTATAGTTGCCTCACTGTTTAGCAAGGGGACGCGTTCTATCTTCAGTGAGGTTTTATTTGACAGGTGTTCTAAGTTCAAATCGTTCAGTTGGAGTTCGGCCATTTTATGAAGATCGATGGTTGGTGGTACGGACGTAGCACATACGCGAGACAAAGCGTCTGCTACCGCGTTATCCGATCCAGAAACGTGCTGGATATCAGAAGTGAACTGGGAAATATAGTCTAAATGGCGTGATTCTCGCGGTGAATACCGGTCTGAAGTAGTGTGGAGGGCGTACGTCAATGGCTTATGGTCGGTAAATACCGTAAATTGCCGGCCTTCCACGAAGTGACGAAAATGCTTGACAGCAGCGTAGACAGCGAGAAGTTCCCTACCGAATGTGCTGTATCGAGATTCGCATGCGGTAAGTTTACGTGAAAAGAAAGCAATCGGTAGCCATACATTAGCCATACGCTGTTGAAGGACGGCTCCGATCGCAGTATTAGAGGCATCTACGGAGATGCTGATTGGAAGTTGAACATCTAGATGGACCAACATTGTGGCGTCAGCAATAGCTTTCTTGATAGCTGCAAAAGCTGTCGAGGCTTCCTTAGTGAACACCAAAGACTTGCATTTCCCTTTAAGCATGTCAGTCAAGGGGGTCACGATATGAGCACACTGTGGGATAAAGCGACGGTAGTAACTAACCATCCCGAGAAAAGTGCGTAGTGCCTTGGGAGAAGTGGGTAGAGGGAAGTTTTGAATAGCTTCTACCCGGTCAGGTAACGGATAAATTCCATCTTTGTCTATCCTATGTCCCAAAAATTTCAGGGAAGTGACTCCAATCTGACACTTCGGCAAGTTGAGTGTGAGGGAGTGTGTCACAAGTCTTTGGAAAACTGTCTGCAAATGAAGTTGATGAGTGGCTTCATCTGGACTAGCTACCAAGATATCGTCCAGATAGGCGAAGGCGAAATCAAGCCCGCGCAAAACGTCATGTATAAAACGCTGGAAGGTTTGGGCAGCGTTCCGTAAGCCAAAAGGCATTCGAAGAAACTCGAACAGGCCAAACGGTGTAATCACAGCAGTCTTAGGTATATCCTCGGGGTCGACGGGAATCTGGTAGTAAGCCCGTGTAAGGTCCAGTTTGCTGAATACTCGAGCTCCCTTGAGTGAGGCGGTTAAATCGTGTATGTGAGGGACAGGGTAGCGATCGGGAACAGTTTGTGCGTTTAGTCTGCGGTAGTCGCCACAAGGACGCCAATCTAAACCGTTATTCTTAGGTACCAGGTGCAACGGTGAGGACCACGGGCTGCTGGATGGCCTAATAATCCCCATTTCTAGCATATGCTCAAACTCCGCTTTGACAACCTTTAGTTTTTCTGGGGATAGTCGCCTCGGCTTTGCGAAAACTGGCGGGCCAGTAGTGACAATATGGTGTTTGACGTTGGAAGTCGCACATGGCAGGCCGCTGCTAGGTTTGAACAAATCTGAAAAAGACTGCAGTATATGCGAATAAGGACCAGTGCTAGTGGGTGTGGCATATACAGGGCTGAGGGCTGGGCCTTGTGTGACGATACCGCTGACGGAGAGGTTTGTGACAGGATCTCTTAACTTATGATTACCTGTATCTACCAGTAATTGGTAGTGCTGCAATAGATCCATGCCAATTATACCTGTGGTAACGTCTGCCACCAGGAAGACCCAACGAAGTGAACGACGCAAACCGATGTTAAGATCTATAAAGCGCCTGCCGAACGTAGCAATTGGCGAACCGTTTGCGGCTCGTAGTTGAAGAGACATTGGCCGCCTGCGCTCCTCTACTGTGGGTGGGATTACACTGACCTCTGCTCCGGTATCAATTAGGAAGCGTATCCCAGTGTTACGGTCGGTAACATAGAAGAGGCGACATGAGAGTGGTTCGCCAGCGACGTTAGTCGCCAGTACGTGCTGGCTTGCTAGTTTCCCGATTGTTGAACATCGAAGGTGCACGGGCGAGTGCACTTTTGGGCTTTTGCTCCGTAACGTCGATGATACCAGCACACTCCAGGCTGGTTACTTCGGGACTGTCGGCGCTTGCTGCTAGCACGTGGCAAGGGTCTACTACTGCGCGAACTTGAGGGACTGCGTCCACGACTCCTGGAGTTCATCTCCTGTCGGATACTACAGATCTCCTCGTATAGCTTGGCAATATGGGCCACCACGTCAAAGCTTGATGACCCCCCATCAGCCATCTTGCACACAGGACACAATATTAACAAGGTGATAAAAAAAACAATATAAGTACAAAGAAAACAAATCAAATCTTTATAACCGTGCGTGAAAAACAAAAAAAATAACAAAATAAACGGTACGTAAAAAGAATTGTTAACACGTTAAGCTACTATGGCGGAAACGGTGAAAACGGGCTCACCACTTGTAAGTGTTGAGGTTAGACTTAAGATAGTCTTCGATATCACCACACTTACTAAAAACTTCACCGTCTTATGACTTTACCAGTACTCTACCTAACGTGTAAGTACTGATTAACTCAATCAAAGTTTAAAAGCTAACAATGGAAAGAATTCTTAGTATGAGTTGTATTTAACGTAAATGAATAACAGATTTAATAAATAAAGTGACTGTACAACTTATCTGCAGACGTTGCTGGAGGTAGGCTCGGAGAGTGTGCAGAAAGAGAGCACAACAAGAGAGCGAACCAATGAACGTACGGAAGACTCACAACTCAAAAAGTAAAACGTGGATCACCGTGGGTGAGTCAGTTTAAACAAAAGTTCAAAGGTACAATGTGCACTACATATATATTATATATAATATAATAATATACTATAGATAATATTATGATACTTTCAAGCCTATAACCTCAAGTAAACGTGTTTAAAACTAATGCATCATACCTTCAACGTTTTTAGACACCGTCTTTTGAACTTTTACATTTCGTTAACGTATGTCCGATTACTTTATCCGCACTATCAGGATTTGAAAGGTATGTCAACATTCAGTCGTCAAGAAGCACAGTTGGTGTGCGTCAATTAGAAATAACAGTGAAGTTGTGTTAACAACGCTACCCTTACCAGCACTGAAAACCGTCTTTCCTATCAAGATAAGTACCCAGATAGCCAGCCGACAGCTGGTATTATTGTGGAAGACTAATTCCGATTTTAAATATCTTCTTTCGAGGCAGGAAACCTAGTCAGACATCCGGTGGGGTATTCATCATTCAAAAGATAAAGAAAGCCCTATAAATCATGAGGATGATACAGTTCCTAATTGGCTGCTCGTTCTATCCTTGTGAAATTTTCATTTACCTTCTACGTTCGAGTGGCCCCAGAATGTTATGTCACAGAGGCCCTACAAAACCAATGTTTATGAATGTAGGGACGAAATCGCTCAGAGGTTTCTTGGCAATACCCTTGACCCTCTTCCTGAGCCTGTCCGAGGTTGAGGAACGGTATTCATGTGGCCAAGATGTCGACTCCAGGGCTTCTTTCATCTGTTCGAATTTGGTTTTATCATAGTGGTGTTGGATAGGATAGTCATTCTTCATTAACTTTTCTTGAGTATTCAGGACAAATAATATCATTCCTGATGCCTACCGATGGTTCTAACTGTACGTACTTTGTTATCAGGTGGTCGCTTGTTGGAAAGTAAGCCGGTCGGGATAGTTTGCGTCTGTCCCTAAAGAGTGTTATCCTTCATTATTTCACAGGGCCCAGCAGTCGTCCAGCAATCTTTACGCCATATCTACCGGTCAATTTATTTAACCGACCTTAATTAATTTTTAGGCTTACTTGTAAACCTTGACAGATAATCGAACGAGTCTTACACTTGAAATGTTAAGACTCGAAAGTATACATTTACAGTAGTAGAGTGGATAGATCTCCAATAAAGAGATCGAATAAACATAAAAAGGGTTTTCTAGCATCGTGAAGGATATGATGCGAAATTAACAGCCTTACACAATGTCAACATAAATATATTGGACATTGAAGCACCCTGAGATATCAGACAAGTGGCTGCGTTGCGAATTTGAAGGATGATGTAGGATCATCCAGTTGACTTTATTTTGTGGATTGCTTTGGGAATTTTACACGATTACTACTAATATAATATTTCACACTTATAACCACTTGATTTTTAACGTAATATAATGAAGTAAGTGTTAAGGGCCTAGTAAATATTAGGTGCTTTACATGTATATATATGTATTTCCACTTTCATTTGTTGACTTGTTCATCGAGTATATCACAGTAAAATAGTGCTATATATTGGCTGGCGTTTTGAACACAGCTAAGTGTCCAAAATTACAAATCAATCTCAACAACACGTTTTCGAACCTCGGATTTTCGGGTTCTCCATTTCTATTTGTCGTTGGGGTATCACGTGGTAGAATTTTTCAGGTGTCCGAGAAGAGTGTCAAATCATTCCAGTAGCACATGTCTTCGGTATTTTCTACAAGTGGTTCCTTAGTTTGCAATCCGCCTTTCTACTGTTTTATGTCCGATCGATTTTAAGACGGTTACTTCGTCCCATGTGCGTATACTATAATGTTATCGTGTAGTTGTATGTAACTGCATGTAATGCTGCAGCCTAGCTTTTTCTGGCTTTGTTTTCATATTAAAGTCTACTAGTCTGGATTTCGCTAAGTTTCTGTGACCCGTTAGTCTAATTGACTTAAGCCTATTTGACCTACTCAACATCAGCCATTGCACAGCATTAGATAAACTAAACTACTTTGTTTAATGCGCTTCACAGGATCCTTTGGCCAACATAATCTATTCGTAGGTGAGTTGGTTGCTTGAATGCTATTCTCAATGCTGCCCGAACAATTCAGCACTTGTCCCAGACATTTAGGAAGTCCTACTACCCTTGAAACAAATGGAAAAAGAGGACGAAAACTATGAAAATCGATTTTCCAAGTGCTTATTCATAGAAATAAACTAAGTTTCAATATTGAGGTATTTTGTAAAGCATAATCCTAGTATGTTCTGGGTGTTAGAATTATCCTGAAGATGTGAACGCATTATTTTCCCCCCACTGGAAGTAGCCGCACTAGCGTCAGTCATACACAGACCTTTCCTCCCGTGTGATTATGCTTTCTGTACAGTGTGCATTAGATGCTCCCTTGAGGAGTAATTAAGTTCATACATGACTTCATAAATCCGGTTATGGAGCATATCTAACTGCTAGTGGCCACCAGTTCAGTTCACGTCCTGATTTTACATTTCAGCCCCATCGTGGTTTATTAATGTATACCATAATGTGATGTAAGTGTTTGAACCGTTTGATTTTTTTGAGTTATGCTATCTTTCGTGATTTAAGGGACGGGTCAGGTTTAAAAACGCAGAAACCCAACAAATGTGCGTGATGAAGAATAGGCACATGGATGTTACAAGTAAATAGTTTTAAATTAAGTATCCCGCTGATTATTACATTTTCCAGTGACTATATGCAATTTGTCATTTGTATATTAATCAGGGTCTGTAACCGCTGAGTGCGACTGAATTCTTTATATTTGCTAGTGTTGTGTCCACTGATCATGTCTCATGGTGACTATTCTTATCCATATCCAGTGACTGTTTTAATAGCCTGGAATACATTTGATCGTGTTAGATCCTAAATATAGTGAAGCATAATTTCTAGGCCATTTTGTTATCCGCAGCCTTGCGAATTGACAGTAAATTTATTATTTCGGTCCTATTTTTCTCCTATTCTCCTGTTAAGCACATCAGCTTCTATTGGGAGTTTTAGGTGTTTGTAGATTGTTCACACTAAAGCACAAAGTGAAGTGAAGATTGTCTAGCAACCGATTATATTTTAGTGTAGTGTACTGCGAAGCGTGATAACAATTACTCACGTGACATTGAATTTTTTGTAGAACTTCACCGACTTTTGAATCAATATAGAATTCAGACCACAAGTACATCACTTCAGGTCATCAAACTTCGAAACATCACAAACAAATAACGGTGTCAATTGAGTGGTATTGCATATCTTAGGCCGAGAATAGTTGACTGAGAGTGAGTGAATATGCTTAGTATCCTGGAGAAGATGAGAAGTAAAAGAATCTAGTGGTTTCTTCAATCAAGTCCAGCGTTCAAACTTGAGAAAAATAGCTTTCTAATGTTTTCTTCAAAAGGGTGGCCAGTATTTTGATATTCCATTTATTGAATAGCCTGCCTTTCTAAAAATATAGTACGGGAGTGAGTTATCATCACTATCTACTGTCTATCTATAAGAAAATTATCGTGTAATGTAGATATAAATTAGTGGACTAAAGGTAAAAGTTAGATTTGTTGCAATCCAAGTATGGGTCACATCTGGTTTTTACAAGATTTTTTGATAACGAAATTGCACTATGGTACAGTCTGGAAGGGAACTAATACAGCACAAACTGTAGTATCATTTCATATGCGTTTAAGTGGGATATCTATGCTAATGATGTATGAAATAAACAATTTATGTTCAGTTACATGCATTAAATGTCTGTTCTCTTGAGAACAGTGCTAAAAATCGGTCACAATAACAGGATAGTATACTAATGAATTAGGTACATCTAATCCTATAAAGATTTCTGACTGACTGGTTTTCGAGATAGAACTTTGCACAGAAGCGCAGCAGTTCAAGTTGCTACACTTCATGTAGCATACAAAGGTAGACAAAAGGGAAAAAATTGATTAGAAGATAATCAGAAGCAGAAGTTTCTTGGAGAATGCTAGGGATATTGGAAAACATGACGGGAATCACAGAAGCTGAATGCATCTGCATAGTTCAGCAAGATTTTGAGCCATGTCAGCAATCGTCTCCGGCCATTGATTATTAGCACTCCAAAGACCGGGTAGTCTACACCTACCTACATGCCACAAACCAGCAGCCAGAAACTTCATGGACTGATGTCAGATTTCGGTTTGACCATCCCTTAACTCTTTTCCCACCCAACAGTGCTCGTCGTTGAAGGCGATTGCTTGTTATGCACAGTATATGTCGTAGCTGTCTCAACCGTTCTAGCTTCAAACCCTCATCGATTGACCTACTCTTCTTAATTAACACTAGGCTTAATCTGAGTATTATTCACCATAGAGATCTCAATTATTCTCATTTAATCACGTCTTTTATATAAATCAACATCTAATTCAATGAAATTTCAAAATAGTACATGAATTAATATAGGTGGAAATAAAAGTTATCACCGACGTGATGCTGTGGTTCAGCCTTCAACTATAAAGCATTTTATACTTAAGTTACCTCTTACCTTTAAAGTTGGGAAGCACAAATTGCATCCTTGTTCCTCACTGAATTCTGTTAACTCTTGTTATATACTTCGTATATGTGCATTCTAGGCCACAGTTGACTCACTTAATTGCAACAGCCTAAATTAACATAGTTTTAAACAGTGCTCAAATAGAAAGTGGACAGAAGTGCACTTAAAGTAGACTGAGATTACCTAATAATACCATCCAAATTTATATAGGGACTAATTGTTTGCAATTTAAAGTAAAATGAAAGAGAAAGACAGGAAAGGAATATAAAACAAAAAATACCAAGGTGCAGTTAAATATTCAAACTCTTGCTAATGATAACTGGATACTTTTACATAATTGTTACTACTCTTATATCATTCGCTAAGAATCTTTCACGGAATCCCAGGACTCATGGTCATCCTCCCTTCTGTGTACTAATGAAGACAACGGACAGAGAGTTCTCATAGAAGAATGCTTAAGCTAAAATTACTCGTCTAGGCAGGCGTTAGGTGGGTGTATTGTTATTTTATTCCTTTATGCTCCTACTGGAACATAGGGCTCCAAGCTATAGCCTTAATGTTTCGATTAGCAGTGGCGTTTATTTTTATAGGGCGGGGTTACTAGCCTCATAAACAGCCGTCCGTTTTTACTGGTCTTATCGCTGGCTTGGCGAGGTTTAAGAGTGCGTCAGCTGTGGGTCGATTCCCGAACTACATGCGTGGTTGTCGAGCATTCTTCCACTGTACCACAGACGCATTTAGATGGGTATATATAACCTACATTTAGGCTATTGTAATGTAAAGTTACAAACAATGACTGTTTCGCTTCTCTTAGTGTTCAACTCATTCAACCACGTGACATTGTTTCTACCGCATTTAACATGTTCGATAAAGACAGGTATGATTCAGAACTCACAACTTTCCCATGTTTACTTTCGACCACCACGTCTTACTTTATAGTAGGAAGAGCAATGTTATGATGTGCTTTCATTCTTTGCTACGTACTAGCGTATGTGGACACCACCGGAGTTAGAGTATATTGTTAATACTAAGTAGGTGCTTTGCCCTTATGTTGATCATTTGTCAGCTACTGACCTAACACGATTAATATGACTGGCTATAAAAGTGACATGATCAACACTTGGCTATTTTGTTTATTAGTGTGACAATCTTTTACAAGACGCAAAAATGTGTTACATATATTCAGTGTGTTAGTACCTTTATGAGACTTGTCTATGTTTGTGTACTCTATCTAAGTCCATCAAATTCTCAGGACAGCAAATGTCTGTAGAACATTGAAGGTAATTAAAACCTAATGAGTAAAAGTACGGGGAAAGTGATTTCACTAAACATCCCCAATTGTCGCTACGATACTTTCCAGTTGATAGAGTTGGATTTCATATCTAAGTACTTTTAATGTGGTTTAATTCTCTGAGCTGGATGGTTAGTTTGCGAAGCTTTCATCACCTTACTGGGTGACATCTTCAGCGCATACTTCAATTTGAAGTGAGCTTTTAGATTTCTCCACGAGTTTATTAATCATCTCTCCTGGTGACCTTGGACGTGATTGGTTGTTTGTATGTGTTTTCACACCTTCTAGGTTACTTGTATTGGAACCGGTTGTTTCTTTGACTTGAACTTTGACCCTTTGTGTGTGAAGTTTCTTTCTTATTGGTTGATAAATTTTGTCTATCTCGATGTGTCTATTGATTGATGATCCACTGGAATGCCAAGCTTCTAAAAATTCTCTAGCATTCTTGTTATTTCCTTTGTCTAATATTTGAACGTTGTCCCAGTCGAATTGATGTCCGTAGTTGTCTGTGTTTAGTGAAATGAGGGAGTGGATATCATGTCTTTTGACGGCTAGCTTATGTTCGTGGATACGAAGACGAAGGGGACGTCCACTTTGGCCGACGTAGTGTTTTTCGCAGTTGTTACAGTTTATTTTGTAGATGATGTTGGTTTTGTCTTCTTTAGCTGTTAAGTTTTTCGGTTGACATAGAATTGAGTGCAGCGACTTTGTTGGTTTGTGTACGACGTCAATTCCTAAAGGTTTGAAGAGTCTTGTAGTGATTTCTGAGATATCTTTTGTATATGGTAAGGCAATTTTCTTTGTGCCTTCCTTGGTGGCTTTTGCTTTGGTAGGTTGGCTTGGGGGTATATGTCAAGAGACAACCGAAAAACTTAACAGCGAAAGAAGACAAAACCAACATCATCTACAAAATAAACTGTAACAACTGTGAAAAACACTACATCGGCCAAAGTGGACGTCCCCTTCGTCTTCGTATCCACGAACATAAGCTAGCCGTCAAAAGACATGATATCCACTCCCTCATTTCACTAAACACAGACAACTACGGACATCAATTCGACTGGGACAACGTTCAAATATTAGACAAAGGAAATAACAAGAATGCTAGAGAATTTTTAGAAGCTTGGCATTCCAGTGGATCATCAATCAATAGACACATCGAGATAGACAAAATTTATCAACCAATAAGAAAGAAACTTCACACACAAAGGGTCAAAGTTCAAGTCAAAGAAACAACCGGTTCCAATACAAGTAACCTAGAAGGTGTGAAAACACATACAAACAACCAATCACGTCCAAGGTCACCAGGAGAGATGATTAATAAACTCGTGGAGAAATCTAAAAGCTCACTTCAAATTGAAGTATGCGCTGAAGATGTCACCCAGTAAGGTGATGAAAGCTTCGCAAACTAACCATCCAGCTCAGAGAACAAAACCACATCAAAATCATCCACCAGAGCTACAAATCTTCTCTATCATATCTATATCTAAGTACAAAAATGTTTAGTCGCATCCTAAGGGTAGGCACATTTCTAAGGACCTATCGTACAACTGTCTGTTCAGTGTAACTTCGTCTACATCCGAAACACAATGTTGCATTTTGTTCTTTTCAACTTCTGTTAGGAGTTACGTAGCAGTAAACACAAAGTCCTTAGACTTGACTTCGGTAAACATTGCCTTTCTCTCATTTCCATTGGAATAGCGAGCCATGTAAACTATTCCGACAGAACCATTTTTGGCATACACGTCATATATGCTAACTGATAGTTGTTTGTCGTTATCTTCCTAAGGTAGTCAACTAAACTTCACTGTTTTTCTCCGTATGTCGTTCGTGATAACTCCTTATTTTCTTTGTATATTGTTGTTATTTTTGTGTAGCTTATTTCTTACCTCTCACAACTTACTAGGTTTGCGTTTTGGTAATGATGATATATAATAATTAAGTCTGGACCAAACAACAGCAATAACAACAATCAGCACCAATCACTATCGATGGGATAAATTTGAAGGAGGTTACTGCTTTCACTTATCTAGGAAGCATCGTTTCAACTACAGGCAGTTGGGACGGATAGAGATGTCAAAGCCAACCAGAATCGGAAAAGCAAGATACACACACCTTCATCAGTCTGAAATCAGTTTGGAAATTTTCTGCACTCCTCCCCAGCATAAAGAACAAGATTCGTATTTGCAACACAAATGCCAAATTAGTTCTTCTGTATGGGTGAGGAACTTGCACTACGTGTTATAAAAAGCATTACCAACAGATGACTGAAGACTTTCATCAAAATCTGCGTTCTCTGGCTCCATATTGAAGATCAAATAGCTATCGACCAAAGGGCGGGTGTACTGCTCATCAGTCCGCTCCGTCCTCCTTTATGGTTGTGAGACCTGGCCACTGAGAGTGGAAGACATGAAAAGACTAGCTGTCTTTGATCATAGGTGCCTGCGTTCTATTTCCCGTGTAAAGTGGCATAATAAGGTGAGCAACATGGAGGTTAGGCGTAGAGTTCTAGGTAAACAGGGGAAATCAATCGACGAAGTCGTGAAGTTACAAAGACTGAGATGGTTCGGACATGTGTTACGTATGCCAAGCCATCGCCTCCCTCGACGAGCTATGTTAGCGGATATAGGGTCAGACTGGAAAAAAGCCTGCGGCGGTCAAACAAAAACTTGGCTGCACCAGTCAATGAAATCTACAACAGTTGGTCTAAGCCACGTAGAAAGGTGTAGACTTCCAGGCTGGGGTCCTCGGGACGGTAAAAATCTATGGTTGGAAACAATTGGTGACATGGCTCAAAACTGTTCTCAGTGGCTAGCGCAGATGCATCCACTCCCTGTGACTTATGATCTTCAATGAAACTGTTTTGTATTTCTTTATTACTCCTTTGTCTCACCCCTCTGCTCACTGTTTCTATTATGCTTTTCTTGTACTTTCTTCTCTTGCTTCGCGTGCTACACGGAATGTGGCGACTTGAACTTCCGCACATTTGTGCAAAGTTCTATGTCGAAAACAGACAGACAGACAGAAAGAATCAGCAACAAGGAACTGTGGGAACGGACTAACCAAGAACCGATCGTTCAACAAATATGTGGGAGGAAATGGAGATGGATTGAGCACCCATAGAGAAGACCGTCGAATGACATTGTGCGCCAGGCCATCGAGTGGAATCCGACGAGTGGGTCGCCTGTGTGAGGGTGAAATAGCGGAGGTCGTACGAGGAGGAGATGAGAGATCATCGGTAATCGCGGACCCAGTTGAAGAGGACACCAGGAAATAAAACAAAAAGGAGATGCGTTGTTGAAACCCAATGTTCCACTCGGAACCCAAAGGAATAATAACGATTAATAATTAAGTCCCGTTGCTGAAATCTCATAAATTAAAACCTAATAATAGCAAACCGAGCAGGTTAACAGAGAGAAAACCTTTGAGTACAGTTATAAGTGAGCAAAAGTTCTTAATTTCTAAGAAAGAATTAATCCGTTGAAGACTATATTTTCCTACTGAGTGACGATAAGCCCGAAACCTACTTATAGAAGCTCCAACATCTAATGTCTTCTGGAAATTTGGTGTATTTCTTATACCCCTTTTCATAGTTTTTAGCACTCCTGTATTTTATTCATCTTACTCGTGCAAGTACAATTAAGCACATTTTTGCCCTCATAATTCATGTTTGTCTATTCCTTCTCATTTTACAGTCCTTTATCTCATCAGCACAGTAGTGTAGCTAGTATTGGTAGTCTTTTGGGTAATTTACCTTTACATGGTGATTCAAATTTGACGCAAAAAACTCCACAACTCATCCCTGGGAATTCAGTCAATCTCAGTTTACATGGATCTGATAATCCAATCAGTATTCCTGGTCGTACACCGTGTACACCAATAAATTTATCCACACCATTACAAGACAGAGATGGTGCGATTCCAGTACCCCAGTTACAGTAAGTTTATTCAGTTGTTTTTTTAATGATTATTTTTGTTATTTATAGATTGTCCATCATTTAAATTCAGCAGTGGTAAAAACGAATGGATGAACAAATTTGGTGACGGACAGTGATTATATACTGTGAATCAATTTATATCCACTTGATTAAGCCTCTAGAATTTACTGGGATACTTTGTTAATCAACAGAAGATAAGGCAGTTAGTCATTACGCATTTAACAAATGAAAGTGTTGTTTAATCATGTTACCCGGCCGACAACTGCTACCTTGTTGTGGTGGTCGTGCTTGAATACCGCAATGACCCAACAAGCTAAGCTGGCTGAAGCTCATGTCCCTGCAGGTCCTACCATATCAGGAAGGTTGTCTGGATAGCGGTTAAACTAAAAGCAGTTATCATGGGGTACATGGGCTCCAGAATCCAATCGGATCAAATGGCGTATGAACCCATATGGGTCACCGGCATCCATGGGAATGCAGCTCCTGACGCTGCTCCGCTGCCTCGCGGATTAGACTCCAAGTCAAAGGCTCCGGGGGTGGTCCCTTAATAAAACCATCTGCTTCGGTCTGGGCGCCGGGGCAGTATCTCAGCCTTCACACAAAAATGAAATAAAATTGTGTGGCGCACCTTTCTTGGTTCTATATTTGTACCAAGTTTTTTCTGCTTTTAAATAAATTAATTAATCATGTTAACAACCTCTTTTTAATCTGGTTCAGTTTAACAAGGCTTTTAGAAGAAAAATAAAATCATTATCCTTCATTTATTAAGTGTGGCTAATTGATTAATGCAAGAATCCTCACGTCCATCCAGCTGCGTTTCAATTTCCTTATTTTTACAAGTATATTATATCCTGGTCGATGACATCTGCTACCCTGATGTGGTAGTGTCACAGTGACCTAGCGAGATGCAATGGCTGAAGCTAATGTTCTTGCAAATTTTACTGTGCTACAAAAGTTGTTCTAATAGTGGTTGTTAGACAAAAGTTATCGTCATAGTGTAAGTCGTATACAGGTCTTTATGCGCAGTTGCAGTGCTGACGAATAGGAATGTAGCTGCAGTAAGATGTTCCCCTCAGGTAACCAGCAAGTCATCTGTGCTACCTCTGGGATGTTAGGAAAGATCGACCCCGAAAATTTTACACTCCGACTTACGTTGCGGTGGTAAGATACTTAGTACGGACCCCCAACTGACTGGTTTCAACTGAGAGCTTTGCACAGAAGTGCATTTTAGTTCAAGTTGCCACACTCCATGAGGCAGACAGAGGAAGATTAAAGATCAGAATAAAAGAGATTTGAAAGAATAAGCAGAGATGACAGGAGAAAAGCATTAAGACATAGAAAAATAGCAGGATTTTCTTTAGATATGGCAGATCATAGAGAGTGAATCCATCTTCACCACTGAGAAAGGTTTCTAGCCATATCACTAATTGTCTTTAGGCGTTGGTTCTTAGAATCCCAAGGAGCCCAATCCTACAATAGTCTACACCTCCCTACGTGGTTCAAACTTACTGTTGTGGGTTTCATTGACTGACGAAGCCATGTTTTGGTTTGACCATCACTGGCTGTTTTCCAGCCACATCTATCCTATGCCAGCGGCTAACATTGCCCTGCCCGTCGAGAAAGGCGATGGCCAGGCAAGGGATGCAGGCGTAACACATGTTCTAACCATTTCAATCGATGTAACTTCACAACCTCTTCGATTGATATCCCCTCCTTACCTAGCACTCGATTGACGTCCATATTGCTCACTTTAGTATACCACCTAAGACGGGATGCAGACAGAACTCAGACACCTATGACACCTAAGACAACTAACCAGGCTTTTCGTGCCTTCCTTGTTTCAATGGCTGTGTCTCACAGCTATATAGGAGGAGGGGATGAACTGTTGAGCAGTACACACACACACACACATCCTTTGGTCGACAGCCAGATATCGCATCTACGCCAGAGATGCCGTAATTTGGCATATGCCGAACGAGCCTTTTGTATCCTCACTGAGGTTTCATCAGCTATCAGTCCGTTTGGGCTGATGCAACCTCCCAAATAAGTGAAGTGGTCAACACGCTCCACCATCCACTTCACTCCTGTTTATCTTTAAGTTAGGAATTAGTCGATGTAGTCAGGAACGAATCACATGCCAAACATTCGGAGATTGCAGCTCAAGGTGGTCAGAAGATTCTGCATTTCGTCAGTGTCTTCACCTATGAGAACTATATTATCCGCCTATTCTATGTCAACAGGACTGCTTGGGTTGCTGACGTCAGTTAGGATTGATTGCATTAATACATGTATGATGAAATTAAAGGAGAAATGGGGACAGTGGGAATCCCTGACTGACACTACTGGTTATCACTTGAGATGACAACTCTCCGTAGACTCTTGCCTGGCTGCGTGTGTTCGAGTAGAGTGCCTTGATCACTGGAATGTATTTTCTCGGTATTCCCTGTCGAAGGAGTGGAATTCTGCCTTCATGTCAAGAAATGTGGCAATTATTGACCGCCAGTAAATATGTTTGTTTTCCAGAATCTGTCGAAGGATGAATATATATATAACCAATATACCTTCTATCTGGTCTAAAGCCTATCTGGCTTTCTCGTGTTTATTTCTGTCGAGCACCCAGCTCCAAAATACCACTTCTAATAAGTTGTGTGTGTGTGTGTGTGTGTGTGTGTGTGTGCGTAACCAGTCTCAAGCAATTGTCCCCTGGTCTCTGTTGTCGCGCAACACTGGCGCTCCCATTTCACGTACTCCAAGAAGAAATCTTTGTATTTATAAGTGATTATAAAAAATTTATGTTAACTTTCAATTTTTAGGAGATGTGTTCTTTTAGTGTAAACCTTTTATTGACACTCATGTGTCCTGATTTCAGGATTAAGAAATTCTATGACAGCATATTACGGAACTGATGTATAACCTATATTTTGTAGTAACAAGATATTATATATATATATATATATATATATATATATATATATATATATAATTTCCTTTGATTCCTGGAGGAACATAGGGCTTCAGCCGCACATCTCCCTTACTTTCGGTTCTCTGCTAAGGTTCTCTCCTGGATCCAGGTGTGCCCATTTACTTTCATCGCCTCTTCACATGACCTCCTCCATATCACCCTCGCACCCACGATCAATTCGCCGCTTCCCTTTCGGGTTCCACTCGAGGGCTTGTCTAGTGGTGTCGCTTGATGGTTTCCTCAGAGTATGGCCAACCAAATCCATCTCCATTTCTTCCTGCCTATTTGTTTCACAATCGGTTCCTGATGGGTTGGTTCGCTTCCAGAGATCCCTGTTGTTGAACTTTTCTGGCCATCTGATCTTGAGTAGTATTGAGCGAAGACAGCTGTTAATGAAGGTCTGTAGCTTGCTTGAGATGCCCGTTAATCCGTATAGTAGCACTGACTTCACATTGGAGTTGAAAATCCGGATCTTATTTTTGATGTTGAGTGATGTTGACCTCCACACAGATTTGAGAGTAATGAAAGCTTGTCTTGCTTTTCCGATTCTGGCTTTGATGTCCTCGTCAGTTCCGCCTGTAGTTGAAACGATGTTTCTGAAATCAATGAGTAAAGGAGGTTGTTTCTTTCAGTTTCCTCCCATTCATGGTGGCTGATTGTTGTCTGTTGTTGTTGTTGTTGTTGTTGCTGTTGGTGTTGGTCAGGATTCTTCATCACCACATCTGTTTTCTGTACGTTCACCTGAAGTCCTTGCTATCTTTGATGCTTGTTTTGCCAACTTGTTGCTTTTCACTTGCCTATCTTCCAGTTTGTGGGAAATCAAACTTATATCATCATGGGCGAAACCCAGATCCTCCACGTCTTTTATGTGGGTCAATTTTATGCCTGCTTCCTCGCTGCCCACCGCTATCTGTCACATTATCCAGTATATCACAATCAGGAAAGTCACTGGAGACAGTAGACAGTCAGCTTGTCTTACTCCCGTCTTCACTTCGAAGGCTTCCGTAAGTTTCCCGTTGTGGATTACTTGACATGCAGCATTGTCGTACAACTGTTGGATGAGATGTATAATTGTCGGTTGCACCCCGTAGTAGCGAAGTAGTTGCCAAATCACCTCTCGATCGACGCTGCACTGTCGAAGGCCTTTTCAAAGTCGATGAAGTTGAGTGAGGTGGAGAAGGTGACTGCCATTCCAAGCTTTGTTCAATGATGATCCGTAGTGTGGCGATTTGATCAATACATGACTTGTTTTTCTTGAATCCAACCTGTTACGGTTGAAGTTTTTCATCCATATATATATATATATATATATATATATATATATATATATATATATATATATATATATATAACATTATAACCATTTTAGATTAACATGGATGTTCCCTTTGTTCCTATAATGGATATGCATCTTCTTTGTAAAGCGGTGTGGTGATATGCAGATTAAATGGTGTGAGACTAACTGATTAATTGAGTTTCAATGTAGAACTTTGCACAGAGAAGTATGGCAGTTTGAACTATATCACCAACACTTTCAAGCTAGACAGTCAGTCTACACTCTGTTGTTATGGAGTGACCGCGTGTAAATATGACTAACAAGATATAACGAAAGATGTGACGGAGCAACTGATATTGCCTATTACTTAAATTGCTCTGACCCGAAGAGGGAAATTAGAAGACCTACGCGTTGACGAAGGATACGTGTGTTATTTCAACAAGGGAAATTAACTGCCACACAAGAGCGCGAGTGAAAAAAGTAGTCAGTTAATTGTACTGTACAGGAGTGTAAGAAAAAATAACTAACATACATGAACTAATAAGACAGATAAGTAGTTTTTCTTACCACTAACTGGATTCTGATTGGTTGGAATGGCGTGTCACAAGATAGATTGTGAGTCATAATTCACAAACGTTCAATAGCCATATTGCGAAAAAATAGTTAGAGAATTAATAAAGGACTTCGTCTGAGAAAAAGGAAGTTACATTTCACAGAAAGGGAAGAAAGAAGAAAACTGCTGCATGTTCTCCAATGATTGTGATTCTTGGCCATATCCAGAAACGTTTCGAGCCACTGATTTGAGCTATCTCATGGACCCCAACCAGGGAGTTGTGACGCACCAGCGGATGCTGATCTACCACAAAAATCTTTTATCCCATGAATTCACGTCATGAGTTGACTAACTCTTCGCTTTTTCCATCCCGTCCCAGTGATGGCGTACAGAGGTCGATACCGAAGCCTCTGGGATAAAATTCGTAGCATATGCCCAAGCCATCGGAGCCGGTGCTTCAGCTGACAACACTCAATGAATGGTGGTCTCCACTGTGTCCAAACACACGCCACCTGACCTCAGAGTTATTCTTATGATGGTACCATCGAACGCAAGCAATTCTACGGGGACAGCAACTATCGAATACGCAGAGTCGCCTTACATCCTCAGCTCGGAGAAGTCAGGTTCCGAAGGCGTCGACCGAAACAGTGGGTGCCAAAGCATTGTAAACCCGATATTTTGACGGCCAAACTGACGTCGCTACAGCGCTAGATGTGGCTCAAGTTGACGTGTACCATCCTAGTTCTCATGATATGGTTGGAAATCTCGTCCATCACACCTCCGCCAGCACTCACACAACTACCCAGATACACGAGTTTATCGACAACTTCAAGTGGTTCACCTGCAAAAGTGAGTGCAGGTGCAGGCTCCTGCCAATCTTGCAACAGTACCTTGCGCTTAGACGGCAAAAAGCACATACTATACCTACAGACAATGATCACCAACTGAATAAATGCGACTTGAGGAGCCTGCATGCTGTCGTACAGTAAGATGATATCATCTGCATACTCGAGGTCGAGAAGTCTCTCTCCAGGGAGCAGATCTGCACCGCCACCATGCGCGTCCTTTAGAGGTTTAGTGTTTAGTTTTTACATGGTGGGGTAGCCTAGCCCCACGCACAACCTCCCCTCCTTTCTGGGCTTACTACCTGACAACTAATAAGTTAGGTGAGGCTTGGGAGTGATTCGACCTTGAATTGAATCTGGCCTGGCTGGGCGGGGGGAAGTGTATTCTACGCCTGCTTCACCGACACTTTGAGAAAATTTAAGCAGCGTTGGACGGTTTTTTTTGTCCCAGTTTGTTCACTCACGATCGTGACGGGGATCAAACCTCCTGGAGTTGTCAGGCTATAAGGCCAGCTCACTGACTTCATAGCTATTCGGGCCATTGTGACATAATGCATTCCAATCATGGGTGATTTGATCTATGTAAGGTGGTATGTATTTTGAACGTGAAAAAAAACGGATAGAAATAACACTTGACTATTTTGGCTTTGTTCCTTTTGATATATCGTCATTTATTTGTATATCTGGTTATTTTATATTTATATTTAGCATCATTTTATATCCTTCTTATCTATTTTTATTCTTAAGGAATATTGTTTGCACTGTTTATTTGGGGTGTAAGTTAAACCTGAAGAATATTGCACTCAGTGCCAGGAATGCTGAATACAACCCGAAACGTTTTGCTGCTGTTATAATGCGTATTCGTGAGCCACGAACAACTGCTCTGATTTTCTCCTCTGGTAAAATGGTATGTACAGGAGCAAAAAGTGAAGAACAAGCAAGGCTGGCAGCTAGAAAATATGCTCGTATTATTCAAAGACTTGGATTCGAGGTAATTTTCTTTTCCTTTCTTTTCTTTTCTTCTTAACTTTTGTTTATGAATCTCCTACACATTTTACTGGTTTTGTTTTCTCATATGTGTCCTTATTTTGTAATTTGTTTTGTGGTGGTTGAACAGAGAGGGTAAAACTATGGTTCTTCTATAATAATAATAATTTGCTTTATTCCAAAACAGTACTTGTGATACAGAATGGAATTCTCCGCATTTTACAACAGTATTGCATCCAGTTAGTACATTAACAATAAATAAAATCCTACATAGATTAAGGGTAATCTCAGTTCATTATGACAACAACATATTAGCACATCGGTAGCAAGGCCAGAAGTGAATAGAATGTTTGAAGGTGTTAGGAAAGTAGATGGTAGCATATTTGCTGGCGTAAGTGGTAACAAAAAGGTTGAGATGAACAGAGTGTGAAAGAACGAAGAAGAATGTTTATAATAGACTTTGTAAAGAAGAGAGAAACAAAGCAGCACATAACAGAAAAAAAGAGAGAGAGAAAAGGAAAAGAAAGAAAGAAAACGTTGTACCTATAAATGATATGAGTTGAAAAGACGAGATCCAGTTGTTCTACTGACTATTTTATAAGCTATAAGTTTCAATCCTAATGTTTCCTTTATTGCACAGAACACGAGCCAAGTAGGGTATGGTTGAGTTTTTGTACTTGCTAGTGCGAGCATATAGTTTCCTATATAGGCTTCTGGTCTGTCTGCCTGATAAGATACAAGGGGAGAGTTGTGAATGAAGAGGGTGATGTGAGTTAGATAGAATGGATTTCACCCATTTTTCACATGAGTCCATGTGCCTATCAACCAGAATATTTGCAAGCTGGTTAAGTGGCACGTTGCTTACCCTGCTGACAACCTTTAACATCCTAAGTAATAAGATAGAGTCCCTCTTCAGTAGTACTGGAAAAATTAAGGGGAAACAATAGAGAATAATAGGCAGGATGCAACAGTTAACGAATTGTAGGAGTAAGGGTTGGGTTATTCCAGAATGTCTTAACTTCTTGATGTAGAAAGTAAGACGGAATATTTTTTTAGAAATCATCAAGATATGAGACAACCAGGAAAGATCAGCAGATAGAATGGTGCCAAGATATTTAATTTCCGACTTGGTCTCTATTTCAGTGCCATCTATGTTGCACAACTCGTGAGTGCTAACCACTTTGTTTAGAGGTCAGATTTATGCCTAAAGGTGAAATTGACTGTTTAGCATTTAGAGGGATTTAAGGTTAGACCGTTTTCCTTGGCCCAATGGCTGATTTCTGATAAAAAGCCATTTAGTTTAGAGTAGTCACTTTGACATTTGACAGGCAAAGATACAGTCAGATCGTCAGCATATTTGACAAAATTAATGTCATTTGAAGATGGTAAGTCATGTAGAAAGGAAGAAAAGAGAAGTAGGGAGAGTACAGAACCTTGAGGGACACCAGCTTCTGTGAGCACAGTAGAGGAGGATTTACCTTTGTATACACTGTACTGCATTCTGTTTGAGAAGTAGGAATGCAACCAGTTAGTGACCCAGGACTCAGTTTGTGTCCTGGAGAGCTTATTTAGCAAGAGACATCTAGGTACAGAGTCGAAAACAGAACTGAAGTCATCCAGTTTGTTATATTCCAATGGCATTAGATTATCAGCTCTTATAGATAGTAACCTACAGATATGAATTATGTCTGCTTATTTGCACTCATGTTGGAACAACAGAAGGCAAAACACGGAAGCCGAAGCATATTTTCCATTGATCAGCCTGCCTTTTCTATATATACAGTTTATATTCTTCAAACAATCACTGAGCTTGTAATTTTGGTTTACTACATTAAACGAAATGAAATATAATGTTTAGATAGATATATAATATTCTATCTCTAATACAGCATTGTTCAACACCAATTTCACGTCGGTCCTTCTATACGTGTCAGAAACTTAGCCAGTGTGTCACAAAAAGGATTTCCAACAGGTTGCAGACCTTCATCACATAGCTACTTTCGTTTCATACTGAAGATAAAATGGCCAGAAAGAATTAGTCACGAGAAACTCTGACTGGGAACAAACACCAACAAGCAAGAGCCGACCGCTCAAAAATATGTAGGAGAAAATTGAGGTAGATTGGGCATACATTGAAGAAACCGTCGAATAACATCGCGTGTCAGGCCCTCGAGTGGAATCCTAATGGGTAGTGACGATTGCGTCGTCAGTGCGAGTGTGAGGAAGAGATAAGAGAGTTCGGGCAATCCTTGACCCAGCTAGAGAGGACGGTAGAGGATAAGACACAGTGGAGGTGTGTTGTTGAAGTCCTATGTTCCACTCAGAACCCAGGGAAATAATAATAATGTGATAATAATAATAATATAATGTAGTATTGAACTGTGTGCGTCGGTGGTATAGCGGTTAGGACGCTAGGTTACCATGCACATGGTCCGGGGTCCGATCTCCGGCCACCGACACACTCCTTTACCTCGCTGAGCCAGAAATAATGCTGGTAAAAAGAGGAGAGGTTGGGCATGAGGCTAGCAACCCCATCCTGTAAAAATAAGCACCACTGCTACAGAAACTTCAAGTCACTAGCTTGAAGCCCTATGTTCCACTGGAGAACGTGAGGGAATATGTGAAAATAATTTTCTGTGGGAACACATTGTCTGCATCAAACCACCACAGTGTATTTGACGTGGTGAGGTTATCTCCATGGAATTGCGTGACTGGTTACTTCTTACCGACTACTTACAGCATAAAATATTTTTGAGTAAGACTAGTCACATACAGTCTGTTCAAGCTTTGCTTGTAGAAACGACTTTATGAAATCAATGTAGGTTAAGCCGAAATATGCAGTTTTTATTACTGGTCTGTACGAACTCCTTTCCAGATTAGGAAGGCAGAAAATCTGACTCACTGGTTGTTATAAGGAGATGCCTTGCTGACATCACACCTTTTTTCTGCAGGCATATAGCTTCACCTTCAGTCGACCTACTAGTTTAAGCTGTTTACGGTATGGTAGCCATTGTCCTTGGTCTTAATGTTTATTTATCCAACCATTCTGGTTTAATAAGACCTCCAGAAATAAACCTTCTGTATTCAGAAGACTTCATCAAATCATCGTCACGGCAGTAACTATACCAGTCGAGTCGGAACTAATTAGAAAGTAACATGGAAACTAGACGTGTAGTGTTAGATAAGGAAGATGAAACGGTTGTTAAGTTTCTAAGGTTCCACCGACTAAGGTGTCTGGGTGTCGATGTTGTTTCTCGTTGTCGATGATCAGTGGTTTATTGGGGGGGGGTTGGGCGTACCGGAACAATCCACCACCGACCCTTGAAATCACTGAGTGGTGGGTTACGCTAGAGAGAAGGTGTAAGTTGCTTGACTAGACTCCTCAAGATGCGAAGAATTTTTTTCCTTCACGTTCCTCAGTGGAACATAGGGCTTCAAGCTAGTGGCTTGAAGTTTCTGTAGCAGTGGTGCTTATTTTTACAGGATGGGGTTGCTAGCCTCATGCCCAACCTTTCCTCTTTACCAGCATTATTTCTGGCTTAGCGAGGTAAAGGAGTGTGTCGGTGGCCGGGGATCGAACCTTGGACCATGTGCGTGGTCGGCGAAGAATTAGTAGCTCAAAATTATTCACAACTGCTCAGAAATACTTACTTATTGTCGTCTTCAAACTTCTAAATATTTCATTACTCCGACTTAGATAATAATTATTACATATCACGCTTCTCATAGGAGAATGAAAGGAGGAGGAGGAGTGGAGCTTTGGCTGATTGGTCTCAGCGCCTAACTTCCAACTAATGGATCATTGGTTCGAACCCCAGGTAGTATCACACACACACACTGCCAACTGCATGGAATTGCAATTGGTCGTTGAGTAACACTCCACTCGAATGAAAGGAGAGGCTTATTCAAGTTGTCAAACATAAAAAATCTTTTTGGTAAAGGTACAAATCTCCTTTTTTTATGATTATTTCATTTTATGTAGTGTGGTAGGACAGACAACCTTCCCTGTTGGCCGTGAAGTCATGATTTATGCATTTATTGAAATGATTACTTGATTGGATAGTTTTGATTCGATTATGGCTTAGTTTTCGGACGTCTGACAACCAATCACATTTGTTTTATTCATAGCTTAAATTGTTGAAGGTTTGTGTATATAAAATAAATGTTGTCCCTGTCGTTGATTTCCCCAGTCTAACTTTTGTGTCATTCTAGTGAAGTTAGGTGAATCGACAGCCCAGTCAGAGTATCACTCCTTCATAATATTTGGATTTTTACCCTTATAAATCAATATTATGTAATATTTAAGTGAACAGTTTGTTATTTTTTCATAGGCTCATTTCAAAGAATTTAAAATTCAAAATATGGTTGGTTCATGTGATGTACGCTTTCATATTCGTCTTGAAGGCTTAGTATTATCACAAGGACAGTTTGCAACGTGAGTTTCTCTTTATACCCAATATTTGTACATATTTGTTTTTTTTTCGTATATAGTTACGAAATTCCCGCATTACTTTGACACGATTTTCTGTTTTAATATGGAGTAAGTCAGTCATATTTGATGTTATGAGCTAAAGCTGTTGAAATTAGTTATACACTGAGATTATTTCTTTTGGCTACAGAAAATTTGGAAAACACAACAACAACAACAAAATATTTGAGCGAAAAATGTCCTTTTCGATGATTTCCTCTTCTGGCTCTACAATTATGTATACTCAGGTGTTAGTCTGTAGGGATTTGATTGATTGTTTACAGGATTTTATCATAAGATAACATCAGTTAGGGGGAACCATTGGAAAACCAGCAAGGAAAGCCGGATAGCTGTTTCGTCCCAGTTCGAGACTCCTCAGCGTTCGAACACAGGACCTTCCGGTAACAAGGCTAGCGAACTCGTAGACCATTAAGCCACTGGAACCCGGTCTAATAGCTGATCCATGAATCCTAACTTCGACCGATTCACGACATAGCGCAACCGTTAGCCTATGTCTTTGACGAGTATTTGTCCTCATGTCCTACCTTCTGCTGTACCCTACTGTTCTTGACTTCCCGCCAGAACCCCAGGTAACTGCCTACTTTAATAGTACTAGTTGCACTATATCATGAATTGGCAGAAGTTGGAATTCATTGACCATTGGATCGGGTCCCAGTGGCTTAATGGTCTACGAGCTGGCTCGCCTTGTAACCAGAAGGTCCCGAGTTGGAACGCTGGCAGTGGGTGCGTACTACGGAAGAGTCCCTAAACTGGAACAAAACAGCAGTCCAATACTTTCACGTTTTCCAAAGGTTCTCTAACCAATGTGAGCTTATGATGAAATCCTGTAAACAACTTTATGTATTTTTATATACATAGAATATTCTAGAATAGTCATCATTATAACAATATTGGTGTTATTTTAAACACTATCAATTTTTTGAGATCGATGGAATTACCGTAGTTCACGAAAGACGCATAAATTATAATAAGCATAGAAATGTAATAGCAAACAGAAGAATATCAAATAAAATTAAGGAAATTTCTGCAACAACAAATTGAGGATCAATAAAACCTTGATGGTCAGCAGCGAGGTAAGGACAGTTTCTGAACCAATCAATTTCTTTTGCAGACATAAGTTAGATTTCTTAATGTGGATCCCGATGGTTTCATTAATATGTACTAGATGAACTCTTAAGGTAAGGTTAAGATTTGTTGGTATGTGGTATATGTCTTTGAAAGCTGCCTTGTTAACACTAATCTTGTGTCCTGTTTTCACAAGATGAGGTGGAATAGCGCTATGAGAATGGATTTTGTTTGTCCTTTACTTAGCCACTATGCAGAATGGTGTTTGGAAATCCGACGATAAACACGCCTAATTGTACGGTCTATGCAAGTAACTGGTTCACTCCCTAGAAGCAATCAGATTAGTAGATACACATACACATAGGAGAGGCGAAATCAGGCAGTTCATCTTTTACTCCCGAGCGCAAAATAAGCGTGGGTGGTTTTTATACACAGCATAATTCAGCAGCATTGAATGCTCTTTTTACCGCATGTCTAAGCGGTGGTATTGCGTTAATATATCTCATTGATTTTACCCACCGAAGGACTGAAATTGTAGCTATAAAACCTTTTTCGGAACTGTTAGTACTTTGACGCATTTTGATTTTTGATTCATATTCTTATCGATGAATTTTTATCACTCAACAACTGTTTAATAATATTAAGCTGTTTCTCCATTAAGACAATCTCATCAGAGCAGATTGGTCTTGCTCCGTGTACCAAACACTCTATTAGACCGCGTCAGTTTGTTTGTTTGCTTCATTTTGTACAAAGGTTATAATCATTGATGAAATGTGCAGAAATATCAAAGTATGTCATATACAAACCACCATATCTATCTAAAGTAAGAGTAGAATTTTGGGCATTGGCGAATAGGGGGGCGGGGAGGACAGAATTCTCTATTGGATTTTTTCTCATTCCTCTGTGTTACGAGTGGAATATAAGGCTTTCAGTTTGGGATTTGGAGTTTCACTAGCAGTGGTATAAAATGCTGTCTTTACACATGTCCCACGCATAAAAACTTCCCTCTTCATTCGGTTTATTACCAGTTAAATGGAGATGAAGGAGTGCCTCGTCGGGGGGTGGGGTATCGGTCCCTGAACCATGTGTGGTGGAGCTGGCGAGTATCCTACTACTGTATCATCGACGTATTTCATGTTCGACTAATCTATTTGATGTAACAAACAGTGATAAGGTGGATGACATTTTGAAGCACAATTTATTGCTCATAAGCACATCAATGTGTTCAGATGACTTCCTGCTGCCTTTTTATTCAAACTTTCTATAGATCCGAGATTGGTGTGGCATCATTTCTGTAGGCAGTGTTTAGTGCTGATTCTATGATTAACCTCACTTTCCACGTAACTATATTACTTTTTAATGCTTTTATCCTATCCCACCCTAGTGTGTGGTGATTGCTTGCAGGTGAATGCATTTCAACGGCTGAACTTTTTTTTTTTCAAGATTATTTGACCTAACAGAGTTCATCATTGTAGATCTAGGTGAATTCTTATGTACCGAGAACCCTAATGACCCCAATCAACCAGTACAACCTATGTAGGTCATTACATGGTATTTGATAAATCACATTATTTCCCTTAGTTGGATCTATCAGGTCACTGGACTGATAGGAGTCTTTGTTTTAAAACTGCTCAAAACTGACTGACTGGTTTCAACGTATAACTTTGCACCGATGTGCAGCAGTTCGAGTCGACATACTTCACTTAGCACACAAAGTAAGAGAAGGAAATAAAAAGAAACGCAAACTAGAGATAGTAAAGAGAGATGTGAATCAAAAAGAATAGTAATGTCGTAGAACAATATAGTTTTATTGTGTATGATAAGTCACAAAGAGTGGATGCATCTGCTCCAGCCATTGAGAACGATTTCGAGTCAGCCATATCACCTGTCGTCTCCATCCGTTGGTTTTTATCGTCCTGAGCACCCCAACTAGGAAGTCTAAACCTTCCTACGTGGCTTAAACTAACTGACAAAGCAATGTTTTCGTTTGACGACCACTGGCTCATTTCAAACCTGATCCATCCTATGTCAACGGCTAACACAACCCGCTGTTGAGGAAGCTGATGGCCAGGCAAGGGATACATGTGTAACACATGTCCTAACCATCTCAGTCGATTTAGCTTCACAGTCTCATCGATTGATATTCCCTCCTAACCTGGCACTCAACCGGCACCTAACCTCAATATTGCTCACTTTCGTATTCCACCTAAGACGGGATGCAGATAGAACTCAGATACCTATGATCAAAGACAGCTAACCATGCTTTTCGTGTCATCCACTTTCACTGTCCATGTCTCGAACTGCTCATGGGTCTGTGGAGAGATCATCTGATGATCTAGGTTGATATTGAGGTGTTTCAGTCAATGAGTCGACGGTTCAATTCTTAATCAGAACCATTCCAAAATATGAAAACGGATTTACATCCACCTACAGCAAAACAAATTGCCTCTGCTTGGCTTCACCGCTGACCACCTAACTAACAGTTAAAGTGCTTAAATTAATTTAGGGTTAGAATGGTATCAAAAAGCACTGAAGGTGCGTATATATATATATATTGAAAAGTGCAAGCTAGAACAAAACACAATATTGAGGTGCTTTGGTTTAATTTATAAAGTTGTATTTATCTAAAAATATTTGACTTTCAGTTTAGCATTAAGATATTTAATAAATTTTGCTACTCAAAAAAAATCTCCACAAACACCAATACTTGAAAAATTGATCTAATGCTCACTAGTGACTGGCCCTAATCAGGCAGTGACGTGGGGTTCTAGTTGGGGTACAGCAGGTTGAAGGTAAAGCAGTAACTCATCAAAGAAGATATTCGCGAGTGGTCGTGCCATGTCGGGAATTGGCTGAAGTTAGAATTCATGGGATTTAGAATTCATTGAATCAGGTCCCAGTGGCTTAATGGTCTAGGAGCTCGCTGGCCTTGTTACCGGAAGGTCCTGGGTTCGAGCCTGGGATGAAACAGTTGCCCAGTACTCCCAGGTTTTCGAATGGTTCTTTAACCGATTTCAGCTAGTGGTCAAATCCTCCAACCAAAAAAGAGATAATTCAATCTTCCGAACACTGTAACTCGTTAGGAAACATACTAACCCCTTCATTCAACGTATTCGTCGTTGACATCTCAGCACAGATACAAAATGCCCTAGTGGAATTTGCCAACTGACGTCATCTCTGGTGTAGGCATGATATACAGCTGTCGAACAAAGGAGGTGTGTTTACTGCTTGCCAGTCTTCTCTGACCTCTTTCATGGCTGTTAGGCATGGCCATTGAAAATGAAAGATATGAAAAGGCTAGCCGTCTCTGTGATATATCTCTAGTATTAAGTCATTTAATATGGTGAGTAATATTGGGGTTAGGAAGAGAGTGTCAGGTAAGGAGGGTAAGTCATTCGATGGGGTTGTAAGGCTACATGCAAAGCTACGTGTTATAGATTCTAACCCATCTCCATCTTAGACGAGCAGTGTTTACTCGAAAGGGAACGGAGACGTCAAATGAATCCATAAATTCTTTGATGGGTGGTGTGAACCAACAACACAGGGAGGTGTAGACCTGTGTGGTTGGGTTGCCTGAGATGCTAAGAACTAAGTGCTGATAAGAAGACGTAGTCTGTCCCAAACGTGTCATGTATTTGCGCAACACTTTTCGGACATCCTGATCACACACGTACTTATCATACACACATATATAGGAGGCAAGTTAACATAAATTATTACAATACAGGTCAAATTGTGTACAGGTCAAGGTCACAAGTAGGGGGTAGGAAGGTGGCGTGAGGATGTGGGTAAGAAAAGGAAAAAAGGGGAGGGGGTGATAGTATCAATAAATAAACTGAACCGTGATTCTAAACTGAGTTACCAAAGCAGGTGTAAAGTAATGACTAGTAACTTTTGGACACGCAAGTCAGGTTTAAGCCTTGACCAAGTCTTCAATGAATTTAAGTATGTGACCCAAGTTTATTGTATATATGCGTTTTAAGGCA